AAAAACCGCCATCCACTCAGTAGAAAACCATGCCAATACGCGCGATCGTTTAACACATTAAATACACACTGCAAGACTCACCTTCCGTGAGCGAAGCATCGCGACATTCTGACGCGGGTTGAGGTGACTCGATTTCCTCGTTAAGATCCCCCAAGTGATACGCGACGAGGTATGGCTCGATGTATCCGTCATCCTTTTCATCTGCATGAGTGGAGACTACGAGGCTTTCGGCTCCTTCTCTACTACTATCGTTAGGACCGTGTGTATCTACGACGTTTAAAGACTCTGCTACTACAGAAGACATCACGCCAAATGAGCACAAGGACGTCGGAAAACCGTGGTTTCTACTTCTATAAAAAAAATCAAACTTCAAACGCCTTTTAGGTCAACCTGCAGCTCTATATGTGCTGATTCGGAATCAGTGAATGGTTTCCCGTCCCAAACTACTAGATAGTCTGCAGCTATATTCATACGTGTGTGATATATAACAGTTAAAGTAGTTCAAGCGTATGCATAAGTCTTGCGTGATGTTATGCATTGCGTCTAGACGAATCGATGATATCGTTATTGCCACCATGTTAAGCAAGATTAATTGGATTTGGATATAAAAAGTGCTTTAAAAATTTGCGATTTGACCCTAATACATTTTTTCAAGAGATCGTGCGCCATGCAGGATTGGTACCAATAGTTAGGATTAAGCTTTCAACATAAAAACATTCGTCATTTTTTTCACACTGCCATAACTCTTTTCGGCAATTGATAGGTTTTGTTACCGACATTGATATTCTGTTAGAGGACATTCTACTGCAACCCGCTGCCACTAAGTCCTGGAAAAAGGCTATGTGACCTGTAACCTTTGTATTTTACATATTTTGTCACGCACATTTTTAGGTTGTCCTTAGATCTGGGACGTACTGTCGTCAAGGACGGATTGGGGGTTGCAGAAGTAGTAATAAAATAAAGAAAAAAAAAACACCTGAAAATTGAACTGCCTTCACATTTTGTCAAAATTGATTTATATCTATACAAGAGTTCCACGATCTCATACCTTCGCCAAATGATGTTAACCCTTGCAGGTGACGAATTATACAATTTTAATCATTGATTTTGTAAATAAGAGCCTCATATGCATGGATTATACAGGTTGATCATATTCTCAACCAAATGACAGCCTTATCATAACAAAAAGGCTATTATAGCACTTCCTCATAAATTATGCAAATGAGGTCATGATTTGAATAAATTATGTTTATTGATGTTCACCTTCACTTAACTTCCAAATGAGGCAAGTATGAAATTCGGGGTGCAGCAGTTACAACTATGGAATTATAAGAATTTTCCATTATTTATGCAAATTAGGTCCTCATTTAAATAATCTATATCCTCAGATGTTTTTCTCGTTCTCAAGTAGATGTCACAAGTGTTTCATAGTTCTATTATTGAACAAATCAGATTTATAGAATTTCCTCATTAATTATGCAAATTAGCTCCTGATTTGCATAATTGCCATCTGATTATATCAAGCATCACTTCAACTACCTACATACCAAAAATCACGACAATACGTCAACCGGTTCTTGAGTTATCGTCCTTCAAATTTTTTTCAACAAATGCTCCTGCAGTTCCAGAACAAGGCGCTAGGGGACCCAAACTCATGTCACTTCTTCCCTACCCCAAGAGCTATCTACCAACCGAAATTCGTGACCCTAGCATGTCCAGAACATGAGATATCAAAACCGGAAGTTCAGCTGCAGTACCTAGGAAAGCCACCAGGGGGCCCAAAATCTAATCATTTCTAGGTCTCATAAAGACCTACCCACCTACCAAGTTTCATTCCAATCCATCCACCGCTTCTTGAGTTATCTTGCTAAACCACACACACACAAACACACCCACCCACACACACACAGACAAACGCTACTGAAAACATAACCTTCTTGGCGAAGGTAATAATAATATAATAGCCCTATATTCAGTATTGAATGATTTATATTATGGCTAATGACTGTTCTTATCTAACGCATATGTGTTTCGAATGTTCGTTGTTTTACTTGTACTATTATGTTTTCTGATACCAACCCAGAAAAGACAAAGAAACAGCCTTGCTTTCAAATATCAGAGTTATCAACCAAGAATTGAGGTGTTCAACAACTCGTATTTCCCAAGGCCTATCGTAGAGTGGAACTCGATGCCACCAAGCACAGAAAGCTTTAAACAACTTCCTTCAATTAAATGTACAAAGATTGTGTGATATAGCTAGCTGCCGCCGCGCATTGTGTCTACGAAGCTGGTGGTTATACCGGCTTTTCAGATACAGATACTAGTGCATCCTTTATACGATGTAAAATCTTATTGTGTAGACAGGGCAAGCCTGTAACCGCCATCCAATCTCACTGGTTGATCCTACTGTCCACCTGAAAAGAGGGAAATAAAAACAATAATCGTAAGTCATCTTTTACATTACTTCCCATGCAGGGAGAGGAAAAATGTTCTCTCCCAGCAGACAAACTCCCCTGGCATGTTATCTCCCTATTTGGCCGTTTTCTACTCTTTCCGGCCGCCTCCCGAAGCCTGGTAGAGGCTACCGTAATATAACTTGAAAATTATGACGGTCTCATTATACTATGCTTCGTGCCATAGTATTTGCATTTGGGGGCTCCCTAACTCTCTCCCTAAAATGTTTTTAGTGTGCCCTCGTATGAATATAGGCTAAATATGGGTAAGACGTTAACACTGCAGTATACTAAGCATAGCATATAGTAAGCTTTTGAACCCAAACTTAGTATCCATATAAATACACGATTTCAGACTTACCAGTGATATCCACCACTTGGCCGGTCATGTAGCTGCTTTCTTCCGATGCTAGGAACAGACACAGGTTGGCCACCTCTGAAAAATGAGACAGAGAATATCAAGTACGTATCCTCGAAAATGTCAAAGAAAGTGGCTCTTTTTCTTTTTCTATCTTTCCGTTTGGATACGATCGTGTGTTACTGTTATTAGCCAGTTGGTCTAGTAAGTATGCGGTCCCCTTTAGGTGGAAGCTTTAAAAGTGCCTTTTCTCATGTCAAGCATGAACAGTCTGTTTAATTTATACGTGAGTTGCTAAATATTTTGATAGGCAACAAAAATGATATGTTTCACCACTTACCGGATGGTTTACCAGCTCGTTTCAAGAACGTTTTCTGTTCAACCTAAAAAAAGATTCAACGATGTCTCTTTAAACTGCGCATTGATTAATATGAATGTTTCCCTACTTGTAAAATTAAACTATATAAATTAAAGCAAATAGAATGCTAAGATAAAATGTTTAACTTTACTTACATATTCCGCTCTCTCCTTGTCGTAAGACTTATCTACGATGTTGGTTTCAATGACAGTAGGAACGACCACATTGCAACGGATGCCATACCTGGGTTTAAGTGGGCACAATGATAAAGACAACATGTTTACTATATATAAATTGATTTTCACTATAATCGTGTTCCCTAGCCTAGATGCTTTGCTTTGTGTTATTATTTATATATTTGACCTTTTTATGTAAACAATCTTTGACATATACAATTTGGCCTCTTCATGCAGGTGAAAGATTCACGGATATTAATATGTTTTTTGTTTGTTTGAATTGTCAGTAAATGAATTTTCATGGCTGTGTATGAATTGTGGACAACATGTCAACATTTAAAACATTAATGTTAACAAAACACGAATGGACAATATATAAAGCATGATCTATGTATTACATAAGTTATAGGTCTTCGCTTCACTGACATATTACCCACATGCACAATCTATCTCTCTACCCTCTTGTTATTTGGAACCATAAAAACTTACTCAGCAAGTTCCTTCGCAATGCCCCTTGTCATGGACACGACTGCTCCTTTTGTGCTCGAGTAGTGAGTAAACTCGTGTTGGCCAACCTGCAACAGGTAAAGTTCATAGGTAAAGACCTTGACAATCTATAATCAATCCATAATTACAAACAATCACATAATACACATGGCTCCACACACTTTTGTGGATCTGTCGCAAGGGTCTGTGCGGCTGCCATTCGGTGCCGCAAGGTGACCTCAACACAACTTTTCCCAACCAAAGTTAGGTACCCATTCACACCTGGGTGGAGTGAGGAAAGTCGTGCAAAGTGCCTTTCCCAAGGGCACAACGCCACCCAACGACACTATCAGGAAAGGATGCAGCCCAGAAATCAGCGTCACCCAAAACAAGGATGATTAAAAGAAAAAAAAGGAAGGAAAATACTAAGCAACAAACCCTTCCACAAATGCTTCCCATAGTGATGATGGAACCGTTCTTCACTTTGTCTTCTACCATGAGTCTCGCCATGGCCTGAGCTACAAGAAACGTTCCCTGTAATGTAAAATATCCGTAATGCATTTTCATTAAACCAGACTCGTCCGAACTTGGAACACTTTATGACGTCGACTCTAACCGTATACAAAAAGTTTATTTTGTATTAGAGTTTATATTACACAGGGATATAGTAATGCGTAACTCTTCTGTCGGTGCCATGCTTTTAGACAAAACATATTAACAGTTCGTAAAAGACGACATAATTATATATATATAATGATACCCCTTGACAAAACTGGGCAACAAAAAGAGAGAAGAAACACGTAAACAATACACTCAATGATGTGTTAATTCGTTTGTAAACAATAGATATAGTAGGGTGTAGCACATCGTAGTACTAGCGTTTCTACTACCAGTACTGTCTAGTGTAAAACAAAAATCATTGTCATTGTTATCATTGTCATTATAAGAGTCAAGTTTATTAATGTCTTTGCACTTCTGTAAATCGCGAAGCGTCCTGGCCTGGGGCAACGGTTTAAAGGAAAATCTACCGAAGATATTTCAAGTTACCTTCTGGTTGACGTTGGTCGTCTTGTCGTACGTTTCCTCGTCCATATCCAGAAAACATGACGGTAGGGCCACTCCTGCACATGTCACTACCACGGAGGGAGCACTTGGGTAGTCTGTCTTTAAAGCAGTGGCCTGGAAAAAATTGTACGAGGCTTATGATGCTAACCATTTATCCGCTAAAAGGTATAATTACACCAACGATGATATTGATAATAGTGGAATATAGACCTTACACAGTACAGTAAGTTAATGCTTATACGGTAATTGTTGTTTTGCACTTTGTATCTGCAGCATGTTTTGTTTAAAGCAAACAAACAAACAAACACACACACACACATAAACAGGTACACACAAGTTATATATAACGCACTCATTATCCACTGCCTTCAAAGAAGCGGTCAAACCTCATCATAACAAGCGTAGTAGTATTTTTTTCAGACAGTAGTAGTCATCAAGCCTTGACCTGATGAATTTGCAAATGAAGAATATTACATAATTATGTATGTGACGGTTACCATTTCATTGACAGACTTGGAAGACGCCACGTCAGTTTTGTAGAAGCGGTGTTGTTGTGACCCCATGTTTGGTAAAGACGCCACTATTTCTTGACCTTTGTCCTCATTGATGTCTACCACGGCAACGGAGGCTCCTTCCCTAGCGAATAGTTGACAAACTGCACCCCCGATTCCACCACTACCACCTGATATAACAAATGGGAAGGTGACAAAGTCCAAAGTTGTTATTTTTCTACAATAAACCATGGTTGGTTAATCTTAGTACTAACGTTGTCAAAGCTTAGAAATACAGATGAGTACATGCTGTGAGAAATAAGACAATGGGCCCCTGTGTATATGACCTTGCAAGAACTATCAATCGAAGAATTGTTGCAGTCATCAATATTGTAGCTTCCAATCAGCATAGAAGGAAATCAGTGGAATGTGAATATTTTTTTTTGAATAAAGACATAACTGACGAAAAAGAAAAAACGAGAATTCGAAGTATGCAGCCATCACTAATCTTACATTTTGACGCTTGACTGCTGAACTTACCTGTAACAACGGCAATCCTGCCGGTAAGCCTACCAAGACCTACAGCTTCTCCCGACTTGTCCGCCATTTTGTTGACCTTTGGGCTATTCCAAGATCAGGGTGTACCATTGTGTTGCACTTTGGCCAATTTTTCAAGTTTCACATTTTTCCACTTTCAGTACAGAAACTTGTACAACAAGTGATACCATGCGTGATCCTTTTAATTTTTTTTTTGCCTATAAATATTAGTCTGTACCAGAACAGGCAAGACACAAACACATTATTTTAGTGGCTTTTATTCTGATGGCTGACAACTGTCCTGAACTTTGCACGGTCCAAGCTCCTGTATTATGAAATTATCATTGTTTTTCTTGTAACCGTTTCAAACAAGAGTCCTTTATACCGAGTTACGTATTACTATGTTAACATTGTTAGGCGAGTATTATGTTATATACGGACATCACAGTTTTATTCTAGCCATTACCTTATAGTAAAAACTGTGTAGATTCGCACTTATTCTATGTGAATCCGTGATTTAACCTTAATATTATGTAACATTTTATTATTTTGCCGAGTTCGTTAAGTTGCCTCTTTAAGAGGTTCTTAAGGCTCTTAAAGAGGCGAATCTACACAGTTTTTACTATAAGGTAATGGCTAGAATAAAACTGTGATGTCCATATATAACATAATACTCGCCTACAAATGTTAACATAGTATTACCTAAATCGGTATAAAGGACTTTCTTTCATAAAAATGTTACAAGAAAAACAATCTTATGACAATTTCGAATTCAATACAGGAGCCTGGACCATTCAGAGTTGAGGACAGTTGTCAGCCATCAGAATAAAAGCCACAGAAATTAGGCTTTTGTGTCTTTTCTGGCCTGGTACAGGCTAATATTTACAGGCAAAAAATGTTTTAAAGCATCACGCATGGTATCACTTGTAGTACAAGTTTCTGTACTGAAAGTGGAAAACTGTGAAACTTGATGTACCATGGTACACCCTGATCTTGGAATAGCCCAAAGGTCAACAAAATGGCGGACAAGTCGGGAGAAGCTGTAGGTCTTGGTAGACTTACCGGCAGGATTGCCGTTGTTACAGGTAAGTTCAGCAGTCAAGCGTCAAGCGATTAGTACGGATAGCTGCATGCTTCAAAACCTTTTTCATCATTTATGACTTTATTCTAAAAAATAGTTACATTTCACCGATTTGCATGCGTCAATGCTGATTGGAAGCTACGATTGATAGTTCTTGCAAGGCCACCACGGTGAGGCCACATGCACCGGGCGCGGGCATTTTTTCTTATTTCTCATAGCATAGACTCACTTGTATTTCGAAGCTTTGACAACGTTAGTACTAAGATTAACCAACCATGGTTTATTGTATTGTAGAAAAATAGCAATGTTGGACTTTGTCACTGTCACCTTCCCAACGTTTATGTTAGGTGGCAGTGGTGGAATCGGGGGTGCAATTTGCCAGCTATTCGCTAGGGAAGGAGCCTCTGTTGCCGTAGTGGGTACAAATGAGGACAAAGGTCAAGAGATGGTGGCGTCTTTACCAAACATGGGATCACAACAACACCGCTTCTACAAAACTGACGTGACGTCTTCCAAGTCTATTAATGCAATGGTAACCGTTTAATATATGCGTCTATAATTATGCACTATTCTTCATTTGCAAAATAATCAAATACAAACAACTACTGCTCCTTCCCGTGCGGAAAGAATAGGTGCACCAATTGCGCCTATGTCAAAAAGGCGAACAACTTCAAAAGCCACCGTACGGGTAAGTGCTACGCCATTAGGACTCACATCAATTGCCAGAGCAAGAACATCGTCTACTTGATCCAATGCAAGAAATGTGGCGTACAGTACGTGGGTGAGACCAAACAGACACTGGCCAACAGATTGAATGGCCATCGGTCTGCCATCAATACAAAGAAGGACACCCCGGTCTCAGCCCACTTCAACCAGACACACCACAGCGTAGGAGACCTCGAGATCCTCGGCATCGAGAGGCTCCGCTACACAGGCAACGAAGATCTCACCAGACAGCGCCGACTACAACGAGAATCCTACTGGATCCACCAGCTCAGAACTCTACACCCAGACGGCCTGAACCAAGAATCCCTAGAAATCACCAGGGTATGAAGAGCACCAAGAACTTCGTCGTGACCGGCACCCCGAAGAACAAACAACTACTGTTTAAAAATATATATACTACTATATATACGCTTGCTTTTATGAGGTTTGACCGCTTCTTTGAAGGCAGTGGATAATGAATAGTCCCACGCTCTGCATAATGAGTGGGTTATATGTCACATGTGTGTGCTTGTTTATGTGTGTGTGTCTTGCTTCAAACAAAACATGTTGCAAATATAAAGAACAAAACAACAATACCCATATAAGCATTTACTTACAGTACTGTGCAAATGCCACGATCATCAATATCATCGTTGGTGTAATTATACCTTTTAGCGGATAAATGGTTAGCAACGTAATTTTTTTCCAGGCCACTGCTTTGAAGACAGACTACCCAAGTGCTCCCTCCGTGGTAGTGACATGTGCCGGTGTGGCCATACCGTCATGTTTTCTGGATATGGACGAGGAAACGTACGACAAGACGACCAACGTCAACCAGAAGGTAACTTGAAATATCTTCGGTAGATTTTCCTTTAAACTGTTGCCCCAGGCCAGGACGCTTCGCGATTTACATAAGTGCAAAGACATTAATAAACTTCTCTAAAACTCTCTCTAAAAAGACTCTTATAATGACAATGATAACAATGACAATGATTTTTGTTGTACACTAGACAGTAGTAGAAACTCTAGTACTATGATGTGCTACACACTACTATATCTATTGTTTACAAACGAATTAACACATCATTGAGTATAAATTCTTTATGTATACCGTTAGAGTCACAAAGTGTTCTAAGTCTGCTGTTACGACGAGTCTGGTTCAATAAAAATGCATTACGGATGTTTTACATTACATGTATAGGGAACGTTTCTTGTAGCTCAGGCCATGGCGAGACTCATGGTAGAAGACAAAGTGAAGAACGGTTCCATCATCACCATGGGAAGCATTTGTGGAAGGGTAATGTTGCTTAGTATTTTCCTTCTTTCTTTTCTCTTTCAACCATTTCTTGTTTTGGGAATTAAACGCCGGTTTCTGGGTTGCATTCTTCCCTGATAGTGGCGTCGGGTGGTGTAGCGTTCGACTACGAAACTATATGCCCTTGGGAAAGGCACTTTACACGACCTTCCTCACTCCACCAAGGTGTGAATGGGTACCGAACTTCGGTTGGGGAAAGTCGTATTGTGGTCACCTTGTGACGCTGAATGGCAGGCCCACAGACCCTTGCGACAGTTCCACAAACGTATGTGTAGCAATGTGTATTGTGTAATTGTTTGTGATTATTGATGGATTCTTATGTGATTGTAAACCGATTGTAAACCCTGCATCAATTCAGCGCTATGGTTTTATGGGTAATGTTTGACCAATAAACCATTTATTATATAGTAGAGGGGATTCATTCCTCAAGCTACCGACATCTTGCACACGCAGTTGCACACGCATTCAGCCTGTCACACAGTGTGACAGGCTGAATAAAAGTTCTAAACGGGAACTATGCGGCTCCAGATGCCTTACTGAGGGACGACTGCGTGTGCAAGATGTCGGTAGCTTGAGGAATGAATCCCCTCTACTATATACTGCAATAAACCATTTATTATTACCATTAGTAGGATTGGAAATGACTGGGTTTAGTTGATTGACAGGGTTAATTGCCCTGGTTTGGGTGCCTGGTCTGGGTCACCAGCAATGTAGCGGAGTAATTATAACTTTAATACGGCACACAATCCAGTAGTAGAGTGATATTCCTATTAACATGCAAATAAAGATTCTTCAAGGTCATGAACTTTACCTTTTGCAGGTTGGCCAAGACAACTTTACTCACTACTCGGGCACAAAAGGAGCAGTCGTGTCCATGACAAGGGGCATTGCGAAGGAACTTGCTGAGTAAGTTTTTATGGTTCCAAATTACAAGAGGGCAGAGGGGTGGATTGTGCATGTGGGCAATCTGTCAGTGAAGTGAAGGTATATAACTTGCAAATGTAAGCCTTAGATCATGCTTTATATATTGTCTAGACGTATTTTGTTAACATTAATGTTTTAAATGTTGACATGTTGTCCCCAATGCATACACAGCCATGAATAGGCATCCATCATACTATAAATTGATTTACTGACAATTAAAACAAAAACATATTAATATCCGTGAATCTTTTACCTGCATATAAAGGCTAAAATATACAGAATGTTAAAGGTGAGCCCAGATACAAGAAGCTATGTCAAACATGTAAAATATATAAATAATAACACAAAGCAAAAGCTAGGCTAGGGAACATGATTATAATGAAAAGCAATTAATTAAGGGTTAATGACCCGCCCCGAGGTGAATATGGTGTGATAAAGCCTTGTCAGTTGCTATAACCACAGAATAAAGCCACCAAGTGAGCGCAGCGAACGAGGTGGCTTTATGAGGTGGTTATAGCAACTGACAAGGCTTTATCACACCATATTCACCGAGAAAGGGCGGGCCATTAACGCTATTATCATATAGCTCACACGATAGCCTATCCAAACTGATGCAGTAAGTGACACAATGTACAATTTACCACATGCTGAATAGAACATAGAACATAGTTCCATATGGAGTCACCTGAGGTCACTGGGTAGAGTTCACGTTAACTGGGTCACAGGCAGGGAACAGGTGTTCTTATGGGAGTCACCCGAGGTCATTAGAACACAACTTAAGTTATTTTTGGATTTTTTAGAACTAGAGCCGTGTTCTATTGGGTCACCTGAGGTCATATGCGGGTGATTATTGGGTTTGTTTAATGTATGGATTGGGATGAATAAATACCCGATCTTGACTCTATTTGTGACATTACGGCGACATAAGGAATGTGGAATGGAGCCTTCTGATTGGTCAACGTCACCTGGCTATATGATAATATATAGTAAAAACATGTTGTCTTTATTATTGTGCTTACTTATACCCAGGTATGGCATCCGTTGCAATGTGGTCGTTCCTACTGTCATTGAAACCAACATCGTAGACAAGTCGTTAGAGAAGGCGAGAGCGGAGTATGTAAGTAAAGTTAAACATTTTATCCTAACATTCTATTTGCTTTAATTCAAATACTATATATAGTAGTTTAAGTTTTACAATTAGGGAAACATTCATATTAATCAATGTGCAGTTTAAAGAGACATCGTTGAATCTTTTTTTAGGTTGAACAGAAAACGTTCTTGAAACGAGCTGGTAAACCATCCGGTAAGTGGTGAAACATATCATTTTTGTTGCCTATCAACATATTTAGCAACTCACGTATAAATTAAACAGACTGTTCATGTTAGACATACTGCTTGACATGAGAAAAGGCACTTTTAAAGCTTCCACCTGAAAGGGGACCGCATACTTACTAGACCAACTGGCTAATAACAGTAACACACGATCGTATCCAAACGGAAATATAGAAAAAGAGCGACTTTCTTTGACATTTTCGAGGATACGTACTTGGTTTTCTCTGTCTCATTTTTCAGAGGTGGCCAACCTGTGTCTGTTCCTAGCATCGGACGAGAGCAGCTACATGACCGGCCAAGTGGTGGATATCACTGGTAAGTCTGAAATCGTGTATTTATATGGATACTAAGTTCGGGTTTAAAAGTCTACTCTATGCTATGCTTAGTATACTGCAGTGTTAACGTCTTACCCATATCATATTAGCCTATTTTCATACGGGGGCACACTAAAAACATTTTAGGGAGCGAGTTAGGGAGCCCCAAAGTGCACATACGATGGCAAAAAGCAAGTATTATCAGTACTTTCACAAAGTAAGTTTTTTCAGGTGATATTACGGTAGCCTCTACCAGGCTTCGGGAGGCGGCCGGAAAGAGTAGAAACACCCGGATGCGGCAAAATGTTCTCTCCCAGCAGATAAACTCCCCTGGCATGTTATCTTTCTATTTGGCCGTTTCTACTCTTTCCGGCCGCCTCCCGAAGCCTGCTAGAAGCTAGTAATGTGGCCAAAAAATATTTCCCTGCATGGGAAGTAATGTAAAAGATGACTTACGATTATTGTTTTTATTTCCATCTTTTCAGGAGGACAATAGGATCAACCAGTGAGATTGGATGGCGGTTACAGGCTTGCCCTGTCTACACAATAAAATTTTACATCGTATAAAGGATGCACTAGTATCTGTATCTGAAAAGCCGGTATAACCACCAGCTTCGTAGACACAATGCGCGGCGGCAGCTAGCTATATCACACAATCTTTGTACATTTAATTGCAGGAGTTCTTAAAAGCTTTCTAGTGATGATCCCCAACTGTGCTTGGTGGCAACGAGTTCCACTCTACGATAGGCCTTGGGAAATACGAAAAACCTCAAATCTTGGTTGATAACTCCGATATTTGAAGGCATGGCTGTTTCTTGTTCTTTTCTGGGCTGGTATCAGAAACCAAACAAGTAAAACAAGGAACAGTCGGAACACATATGCGTTAGTTGAAAACAGTCACCAGTCATAATATATATCACTCAATACTCGGAATTCAATTTTGACAAAATGTGAAGGCAGTTTAATTTTCAGGTATTTTTTTTTAATTTTATTCTATTACTACTTCTGCAACCCCCAATTCGTCCTTGACGACAGAACGTCCCATATCTAATGACAACATAAACATGTGCGTGACAAAATATGTAAAATACAAAGGTTACAGGTCACATAGCCTTTATTGAGGACTTAGTGGCAGTGGGTTGGGATGAGAAAGATAGAGAGATTGAGAGATAGACATGACGGTTACCATTTCATTGACAGACTTGAAAGATGTCACGTCAGTTTTGTAGAAGCGGTGTTGTTGTGACCCCATGTTTGGTAAAGACGCCACCATCTCTTGACCTTTGTCCTCATTGATGTCCACCACGGCAACAGAGGCTCCTTCCCTAGCGAATAGCTGACAAACTGCACCCCCGATTCCACCACTACCACCTATTAAATAAACATAACAAATGAAAAGGTGACGGTGACAAAGTCCAAGTTTGTTATTTTTCTACAATACAATAGTCTATTGTTGATTAATCTTAGTACTAACGTTGTCAAAGCTTAGTAATACAAGTGAGTCTATGATATGAGAAATAAGAGAAACTGCCCGGTGCACGTGGCCTCACCGTGGTGGCCTTGCAAGAACTATCTATCGAAGAAGAGTTGTTGCTGTCATCAATTGTAGCTTCCAATCAGCATTGACGCATGCAAATCGGTGAAATGTAACTATTTTTTTAAATAAAGTCATAAATGATGAAAAAGATTTTGAAGCATGCAGCCATCCGAACTATATAATCGCTTGACGCTTGACTGCTGAACTTACCTGTAACAACGGCAATCCTGCCGGTAAGTCTACCAAGACCTACAGCTTCTCCCGACTTGTCCGCCATTTTGTTGACCTTTGGGCTATTCCAATATCAGGGTGTACCATGGTGTTGCTCTTGGGCCAATTTTTCAAGATTCACATTTATCCACTTTCAGTACAGAAACTTGTACAACAAGTGATACCATGCGTGATCCTTTTAATTTTTTTGCCTGTAAATATTAGCCTGTACCAGACCAGACAAGACACAAAAGCATTATTTTTAGTGGCTTTTATTCTGATGGCTGACAACTGTCCTCAACTCTGCATGGTCCAAGCTCCTGTATTGAAATTGCCATTGTTTTTCTTGTAATATTCCTATAAAAGAAGGTCCTTTATACCGATTTACGTATTACTATGTTAACATTGGTAGTCCTTACCTTATATTAAAAATTCTGTGAAGTCGCACTTATTTTATGTGAATCCGTGATTTAACCTTAATATCATATAATATTTTATTATTTTGCGACCTCGTTAAGTTGCCTCTTTAACAGCCTAAATAAGCCACGCTGTTCCGGTGGAACCCTACTGCCCACCTGGATGGAGAAATATAAAATAATAGCCATATATTATACATCACTTTACATGGCAGATGTAGAAGTCTGGGTAAAACACAGGGACCGAATTTATTAAAACAACAACATGAAATAAATTATTTGCCCTTTTAACTATTACAGAGTAATTTAGACTGAAGCTGATGTATACATAAAATAAATTTAAATGTTAGTATGCGGTAAAATTGCTAAATACTAATATGTAATTTATATATGTGGAAGTGCATATGGTCAAATTGCTAAAAATGCACCCCTGATCTTTATGATTGTAAACTTGGTTTACCAGACTTACCAGTGATATCCACCACTTGGCCGGTCATGTAGCTGCTCTCGTCTGATGCTAGGAACAGACACAGGTTGGCCACCTCTGAAAAATTCCACAGTTCATAAGACAAAAATTGTTAAGACTTTTAGGATGTTATCATATACGAGTATATTGTACATTACTTAATTTTTGGGGCTTTAAAAGATTTCAAAGTACATGCTGAAACTTCTTGTATGTATATGTTATCATATACGAGTATATGTTATCATATACGAGTATATTGTACATTACTTAATTTTTGGGGCTTTAAAAGATTTCAAAGTACATGCTGAAACTTCTTATATATGATAACAGTAAATTTCCTTGGACAGACGGTAAAGAAGTAAAAGTATATTACTTTTAGTAATCAGAAGGCATTGCACTGTTTCAATGTCAAAATGCCATACTTAAATTGACTTGCAGTAGCTAGGTCTAAATGTTTAAATGTGACTTGCTTAACATTTTTTATATAGAAAATAGATGCTTGGCAAAAAAAAAGATATGTTTTACGACCTACCAGATGGTTTACCGGCCCGTTTCAAAAAAGTATTCTGCTGAACCTGCATGAAAGAGAGACGACGCCATTTTGCCATGAGCAACCACACCTTTCAAATTTCGTTTTAAAAACCCTTCCTTCTACAGCAACAAATTGTTTCCCTGGACTTCAAAATTATGGAACTCCCCCTCCCCCAAAAATGTACACAATGCTTTCCTTTCGAGTACAATCCGTAAGGTTTTAAAATATACATTCACCGCCATTTTTTCTAAAGTATGCCTAGAAGTGACTAATTTGGCCTTGCATTAAGTAACACGGTTAAAAAACCAAACTACACACATATTGTGAAAACATAGAGCAATAACATACCAGTAAATGTTTTTACCAACTACTTTATAAAATCAAGCCATGCAATAACATATCATCCTTAGAATTAAAAGTCTGTGAGAAAATGTTACCTTATATATAATCCTTGAAATTAAAAGTCTGTGATAAAAAAAAACTTTCTATAGTTATGAATTACTTAGTTATTATCCATTATACTTACATAATCAGCCATAAATTGTTCCCATGTCTCATCCAGGATGTTTGTGTCGATGTAGGCCGGATTGATCACATTACAGCGGATGCCGTACCTGTCGTAGACATAGTGATAAAGAGAAAAGTTCAGGATATATTGCATTTTATTATATCACCATAACGGATAATATGGCAGGGCGTAGCTGGAAATAACCTTTTTTTCACACAAGAATAGTACTAGGCTTCGGTAAAATTACATACATTTCTATAAATATTTCAACTTATAAATACAAGGCAATACAATGTTTGTATGTCTTTGTATTTATATCTTCCTTTATATGAATAAAATTTTAAATATTGAACTCTACGACAGATAACATTATGACATTGGACAGATAAAAAGATTGTCAAGACAAAAAAATGACAAATTATGGATTTCAGGGTCATATTGTAATTACACTTGATTACATATCAATGTTCTTGTGCAGTTGGTACAATGAGCACGCTTATAACGACTTACTCAGCAAGTTCCATCGCAATGTTCCTCGTCATAGACACGACCGCTCCTTTTGTGGCTGTATAGTGAGAAAACTGGAAATTGCCAACCTGCAAGAGACGATACGTGTGCACAAAAATGTTTGGAATCAGTATAGGTTGTTCAGATTAGAAGTTGCAATTTAGATATACCGTAAAATGTTACTTGCCTATCATGCTTCTAATGAGGTAAGGGGAATAAATGGTATTTCTCAGAGAGTCACTCTTAACCATAAGTGTCCAGGAACGTGATATTTAGCATGCTTGACTTTAGGTAGTCAAAAACAACAATTTCAATGTAACATGTATTTTGTGGTCTTACCTTTGGATATCGTAAAATAATTTATATAAAAAGTCTGTTTTAATGCTTAATGCACCATGAAATGTTTGTTTGGACTACTTACAATGAAGCTTGCTAAATAGATATTATTAACAAAGAAAATAACACACTTTCGCTAGAACGCTTCCGATGGTGATGATGGAACCGTTCTTCACTTTGTCTTGCACCATGAGCCTCGCCATGGCCTGTACCACAAGAAACGTTCCCTGCAACAAGAAACCCAAGATCTCACATTTCCCGGTAAAACTTTCTGTTTTTAGGAAATTTAATGGAACACTGAAGAAGATTGTATGCTGTCAAACAACTCGCATGCTGTCAAACAACTCTGTCCAGATTTGTCTCAAAACAATACTGTACTTCCGTATCCAAGAAGAAAACTGCAACGTAAATCTACAATATAATATTCTGAAGGTCTAAGAATAAATCTTATTGATGAAACAACACTTCTATCTACAAAAAAGTATTTTGAGACAGAAGAAACTTGTACCTTTTGGTTGATGTTAATCGTTTGGTCGTACGTTGCCTCGTCCATATCCAGAAAATAGCACGGCACGGCCACACCGGCACATGTCACTACCACGGAAGGAGCAGACGGGTAGTCTGTCTTCAAAGCAGTGGCCTGGTACGAATTATCACAGAGATAAGGAGTGTGCACGTGGTTAATCATTTAGCAGATAGAAGGTATCAATCATCAATGGAAAGAGAGAGAGAGAGGGGGGGTAGAGGGGTAAATATATTGGGAGAGAGAGAGAGAGAGAGAAAGAGTGATAAAAAGAGATATGTTACCATTTCATTGACAGACTTGGAAGACGTCACGTCAGTTTTGTAGAAGCGGTGTTGCTGTGACCCCATGTTTGGTAAAGACGCCACCATCTCTTGACCTTTGTCCTCGTTGATGTCCACCACGGCAACAGAGGCTCCCTCCTTTGCAAAAAGCTGGCAGACTGCACCCCCGATCCCACCACTGCCACCTTTTAAAATTTTACGATGAATCAAAATTAATGGGGAGATTAGAAAACTAAGATTTTACCGACATTATACTGGTGAATCTTTGGGATTATAAAGCGGCTAGTTATTGTTTTCAGTACTAACGCCTTCAAAGCTAGATTTTAGATTCGGTAAAAAAGGAAGAAAGAAAGAAAAATATTTTTAAAAGACTGACCTACCTCTATGTTGAACTATCAAGTAACAAGAACATGTAGCCTGTGCTGTAGCTACCAATTAATATTTACAATAATTAATCTTTGTTACTTTAGTCATAGATTACGACAAAAATTGAAAGAAGACATCTTCTATAGACTAATCATTAAAAGCATGACTGCTAATTAAACTTACCTGTAACTACAGCAAGTCTCCCGGCAAGTTTACCAGGACGTACAGCTTCCCCTGACTTGTCTGCCATCTTGCTAGCGCTATAGTCATATCATCAGCGACAACCGTGTTTGTTACAGGTTTTAGAACACAGTATCCATCCGCGACCTCCGGTACATAAAGAAGTGCTGACAAAATTATTGGAGACTGAGTAAAAAGGCGCGTGTGGGGGAGGAGAGCGTTGGGTTTAACCCTGTTCTGTGTGGTCAAGGTTATCATAAATAATGGCATTGATGTGAGGCTATTTTGTAAGTTTCGTGTACGAATGGATCTTATCACGCAAATGGTCGCAAATGTCTTTCTGGGTGAGCCGACTGCAATTCAGCTGGCCTACGCATGGTGTCATTTCAAGCACGGCATCAAAAGCCGATACGTAGACATTTTTAGTAGTAGTAGTAGTAGTAGCGATAGTAGTAATATAGTAAATGTTATATTTGTGGGTAGTTACGGTTGACCTCTATAGAGGCCACCGTTGATACATTTGAACGAATTTTGATTACCGTTGCGCAGAAGGTCAGACTGGCTTAAGGTATCTGTGCTGTATCTAGGTTAGACACACACAGATGTGTAACATAAAGTCTGAAGTCCAGGCTTAATCGGCACAGCAAAACAATGTACAGTTTGCAGGCAAACACAACTTTTCAAACAGATTTTTTTCGTTTGGAGTAGGCATGTTTTTGTTAGGAGTACGTATCCAGCAATAGTTATTGACATTCGACAATTAAACACGAGAATCTGAAATGAATAATTTACACTGATCGCTGTGCCCGGACTGTCCTTTCAAATAACCTACCATAATCTAGCACATCTTGCCCCACCGCCTTCAAAGCAGGAAAAGTTTCAATCAATTGAAAATGTGGCCAAACAGACACTCTGTTACGCATTCAATTATGAATTATAAGTATGTATTACGTATCACTATTAAGTGCCACCCCCCACACACACATCGCTGGAAATCAGAATAGTGATAAGTATAGTTTATTTATTCATTAATATCTTTAAATGTTAGAAATTCATGTACAGAAAAAAATTGAATGAGTTGTTACCCAGTTCCTAGGAAGATGTCCACTTTAAATACCTATCATCATCACGTACTATAATTTAATAGATGTATTTACAATACACCATCCCCATGCCCAGGGCTGTATTATATAGTCGCCGTCTTGAACCTTCGCGCGACGCGCAATGTTGCATGGGAAATCATTGCTCTCCCGTGCTTATTCTCGCGAGACTATCGCCGCGACATCAGAATAAACGGCCAGATAAATTTACATTGGGTTATGTGATGTCTAAATGCTAATTCTTTCATCCTACCTTAAAAACGCGTTTGGCAACATGACCGGTAATTATAAGTATTTACCCAATCATGTACATGCATTAATAATATAAGTTTTGCGTGTTCAAGGTTGAGAATCTTTCACAAAAGAAAGCAACCTGTTGACTATGCCTGTCAATATAAACGGCGGCGTCGAAACGAGTCACTTAAATCTTAAACAACATGTCGTCTTTACCTGTTTTAGCACTGTCAAGGAGTCAATAACTTTGCTGTTTGCTATTGATTGATGGCTTAAGTGGTGCAATAGCTTCTGCTTACTGTGTAAAGTTGCGCATTTTAATAGCAATAGTCCTGCTCGCCTTTAACAAACTAAACTGAAGCTCGTCCAACAAAGTGCACAAAAAGCGAGCCATTACAAGCATGTTGCTGATTTCACCCCCTTGTATGTATGGCACAGATCTATCAGAACGACAATGGTGACCCTACGTACGTACGAACACAAATATGCCCGGCCTCATTGACAAATGTGTTCCATGTTGTTATTAGTTCTAGTTTTAATTTTGTTTGATCTCCACAACAAAGAATAACAAAAAGAGCCCTCACGACACACTAACACCGGCGCGGAGTCCGCCAGAGAAGTGGGAAATCTTACAGGTAACATCTTTCTTCATCTAATTTATGAGAGTACAAATGTGATATTACGTGGGGTCGTGTGGCGTAGCGGCAGAGTACGCGACTCGGAACTAAGAGTCACGGGTTCGAGTCCTGACATGCCACCGATCTTGTGCCCTTGGGAAAGGCACTTAACACGACTTTCCTCACTTAGCTCAGGTGTAAATGAGTGCTGTCCTGTCATGTATTTGTCCCCTGTGTTGGTGGCGGCATTAATATAAGTTGAAAAACATGAGTGTGCCGTCACCACGTCTGGTGATTACATGTTGGAATTAACAAAAAATGTGATATTAACGTTATTAGAAGCAGATTTTACCTTCAAGAGTATACACCCAATATTTACGTGTTGTCTTACAGTAGGCGTATAGTTGCTATCCCTTCATGTCCATAGTGACGTATAGTAGTGACATGTATTTAACTGTCTTCGATGTTTTTTCTTTGTAACGCACCAGTTTTATTTAGTAAGTACTCGATACATTAGATCAGACGGTAAGTCTTTTTCCACTCATACTGCATGACATGGACCCCATCTCGATTAGCGTGGTGGGTGTCACAAGGTGCAGCTTTCCTTTAAAACACGGGAACTCCACAGCTTTATGTCCCATCAAAAATGACGTCCCTAACCAAAGCCAGGTACTCATTTGCACCCGATTCGAGTGTGGAAATCGGTGTTAAGTGCCAAGGGTACATCATTAATTGTGTCCTGCTAAGGATTTGAACCCAGAACCTTTAGATTCTATTAAAGTCCACAACAATAACTACAAGACCACATTACCACCTTCACCACAGGTATGACTGTGTACATCATAGCGGCAGTCTGTGCCGCCATGCTCCGCCCCGTGACGGTCCAGGCGGCGGCTGACGTGACGGCTCCTGCGGGAAGACTTGTCGGGCTGGAGCAGGACGTGTTCGGGACGACAGTTCACGCCTTCCTCGGGATCCCGTACGCACATCCCCCGGTCGGCGACGGGCGGTTCCGGAGAGCTGAGCGTCTACCTCCGTGGGACGGAGTCTACAATGCAACAACGTAAGGACATTTACTTAACGTACTCGTCAGCTGTGCATAACACCCAGCAAACAGTTTTGCACAGCTCATGACTTCTGGCGCACGGAATTATTGTTGGCTAAGCTGTGTGAATCTGCGTATCTATTTGGCTGGAAAGAATAGCAGTTATCCCATTAAATTACCAGAGAGAGATTTAGAAATTTTCTATTTGGTAAATTAACGTGTGTTTTTTTCAGTGAAATATGTTTCAGTACTAAATAAATGGGATAGGTAACCAGATCTCGACAGGCCCTCTTTCCAAGAAGGCTCCCTGTGATAAGAAACAAAAGATTTGTCATCTCATCACTCATCATTATCCCATCACTTGCAGGTCACTTGTTTCTTAACTCTTACTTAAGCTCCATAATTACATACTGTATTGTGTTTTTCAAGGTTTGGCCTGTGGAAAAATATGTACCCTTTCACACTCTGACATTATTCTCTCGTTCTTTTCATGGTTATCACCACTCCAGCCTGAGGCAGATCAGGTGCATCATAAAACACACACACAAAAATTCGACCGGACGCCGACCCCTCAACCACACCACCTCCACCGCTCGCTCTTATAGCATAGGCCACCGCCTCTGGGCTGTCTATCTCGACTGAGGAATACGCATCATTTTAGTAATTACATGTGCAACGTAATTTAAAGGCATTGTATTGGAATGCGACTTAGGTTTGGCTTTTCCAAACGGTTGTTTGAGAACTGCTCAATCCAATCGATCAGTAGAAAAACACGATACAACCTGTCAGTCGGTCTACTACCACAAGACCAATTAGCAGGACCAATTATATTGCTTATCTGCTTGGATCTAATGACTTCTTGAATACACTGTCCATCTGTATACTTTTCCCTCTACTTCTCTTCAATTCTGCTCACAGATCGGGCCGTGTTTACGCCCAGGGCCTGGAGTTAGTATTTATTAAGTAACATTCCAAGTCCAGTCAAGTCTTGAATTAGAAATACTCCAGTAGGGAGGCTTTTTTTCTCCAAAGAAAATTAGGACTGGGGACTGCTCACACCCGAGGGCAGTTTTCTGTGCCACCGAGAAATTTACAGTCTTCATTCATTTCTTTATTTTAGATGGTGTGCACTGGATATAGTGTTTCTTAACCCCACAATGTTTATGGATAGAAGGGATGGCATTACCTTTATTTCTCAAAGAAGCAGAGTTCGGATTTAAAAGCAAAAGGACCAACAGAGTGCCTGGGTGTCTGAAAGCGTCACTTTCTACAGAAGGGCCAATCATGGCGGAATTTGTTTTTACCTTCTGGCCTGTCACACCAATGTAGTCAGAGACAAAAGGGTGGTAGCAAAATAGGAGGGGCATTTATGGATAAACAATGGGCGCTGTCACCAATCAAAAATAACTGGAGGGGATAATTAACAAAACAAAAGACGCTGTGAGTCAGGAACAAGGCGCTTTGAGTCAGGTAACAAATTTAGGCCACCCGATGTGGCATAGAACTGGACAATCTTTATCGCACGGAACAAAAAAAAAAAAAAAACAGAATATGTAGGCTGGCTAATAACAGGAGATGAACTCATAAGTTGTCCTTAATTTTCTATATCCGTTATATCAAGAATGTCCTATAATAAGAAGTGAGTATTTAAAAAAGGTGTTTTAAGTGGGTGCTTTTTTAGCACCGAAAATGGGTCTAAGCTTTTCCAGTTTGTTAATTTCACTAAACAAAATGAATAATGCAAATAAAAACAGCGACCATTTCATTCATGTTTTCTGCAGTAGGTTTTATTGAATAAACTCCGTGTACGATTTACTCATCAACCTAGCGTTCAATCCAGCCTTTTTGCTGCCACTGAAAACTAAAGTCTTCAGTTCATCCGTTAGGCTGCGCTGGTTACGGGACTTAGCGTCGCTTTCGGGCATCTGTAAAAAAGGACAATTCACAAAGCTTAGCTTAAACAAAGAAACACACACAAACTATTAGCAACAGGAAAATAAGCATAACTACTATCTGAACCAACGTTGAGGCCGGGAGTAAAAATTTTAGCACATGTCGAAGCAACTTGCTATCTGTGGATTTCTTGCACTATAAACATATGGCAAATCATGTATGGCAACGCATATGCAAAATTGTTCAAGTTAACTATATGATCAGCAAGAATCAGAGCCTCGCGACAAACTTTGCAGTGACGAACATACAAAATTTATCAACCCCTTATTCTGTGATACTTTTAACAGTCATTTGGAAAAACTGTGGACTTTATGTCCCCATGCCAATTGAGGGCGTCACATCAATGAATTCGAAAAACCCTAATATAGCATATTTTCATTTGGACGAATAAGGGAAGACTGCTACATACAGGAGTCTTGCAAGAAGAAAAGGAGCAAAAGTGAGATTTCTTACAGTCTTCCTCCTCCTGGAGCTCCCGTGCATCCAGCTGATCACGCTTCTCGATGATGTTCAGGAGTTCCCTTGCCTTTTCCACAACCTCCATCAGCTCTAGCTCTGCAATATCCGCTGGAAGGATGGGCACAGAACAAGAAACGGTCATGCCTTCAAATATCAACCAAGTTATTAATCAAGAATTGAGGTGTTCAAACAGTCATATTTTCCACGAACTACCGTAGTAGAGCGGAACTCGTTGCCACCAAGCATAGCTGGGGCATCATCACTAGAAAGCTTTAAAGAACTCCTGTAGTTAAATTTGCAAAGATTGAGTGTAACAAGTCGTTTAGTGAGATGTACCTAGCCGCGCCAACTTTTTGTAAATCAGAAAAAAAATGAAGTGGGCGAATCCGAGAAGTACTGCTGCTATGCTGACCACTGTTTTTTGAATGAAGAATAAAGAAAAACAACTAATTAGATTGGTATGGTCAAAACGAATGTTTCAAAAGTCCAAACTTACCTTCCAACTTGCTTGTACTTCCACTCCACAATCCCTGGCTGTCATCAACCAGCATCGCCACCACAACGGTCACAAGCAGCGCGCAGACAAACAGCTTCATGGTGCAGTTTCACCTGAGGGTGAAGTAAAAAGTTTTGAGTGGATGTTTTCAGATGCATATTAGACTTTTACCCCCAAATCTCGACCCTGATTTGGGATTTGGTTGAACGATTGTCACAAACAGTGTGCAGACAAACAGGATTACGAAATAAACAGGATTATTCTAAACCTACGAACAACCATTTCATACATACAAAAGCACGTGGGAAAGCGTACGTTTGTATATAAAGAGAAATGAATTTGAGTTAAATGTGAGTCAAACTAGACCCCTGAACACTGCTGACTTACTCCCGAACGGTTGGCTGGTGTTCTACTGACCTGTACATGTAGGGCGGAATAACAGCCAACCATGGTCGAATCTGCCACCCAACCCTCGAATGTTTTAAACATTTTGAAACATTTGCAATTGGCAAAGAGTTGGTAACAAATCAAAAAGGGCGCCAATTAATTTAGTAGCCGAATTCACCAAACATCAGCCCACTTTGCTCTAACCATGGTTGGGTGACGTTCAGCTAGTGTCCGGGACGCTATATTTGTGAAATTGTGACAGGGGCTTAAGCACTGCATATTCATATGCTTCTGACACTTGTTACTAAATGTTAACACATGTACAGACAGCACACAGATAGACTTAGCTAGTAGAGTAACTTGGTAAATACCTTAGGTAAGTCCCTGGATCGTCAGATGAATCGTCTGAAGATGTCAGAATGGCTCGATGGAGAAATGGAGACGGGAAGCAAAATATATACTCTTTCGAACTATAGATTATGCAAATGAGAAATAAGTGGTTACTCTTGATTGGTTGGCGCATGTAGCCTGATATAACGTCATTGAGGAAATTATAAGTTGACCTCAATATAAACTTACTGGATAAGGCCACAGCAAGTAAATTTTATGCATGACATTCTCCGCAGATTCTAAAGCTAATGCGACAGGTGAAAAAAATCAAGGCCTTGGCGGGCTAAAAGAACAAGACTCCTACATTTTCATATTTTGACATCATAAACCTTGTTAAACTAGAAATGATACCTATATTGAGCTACGTTTACTGCCAACTATCACTATTACAACATCGATTTTTCGCTGAACAACTTTGAAAAATAAAAAGTTTTTAATCATTGTACAAATGGTTTTGGTTCAGTGGGATTATCACATATCACGGGAAAGGAAAAGGAATTAGATACTTCAAAGTAAAAGACAAAACAATAAATCAGAGCCTTGTCTACCGGACGTTCCGGTATTGGCAACAGACATGTTTGACCACTGTCAGAGGGCATCAATTTTTTTTTTCAAAATCAGGTGAAAATCAATGTGCGCGCTGATGTCACACATAGAAATTACTTGCTGTGGCCTAAGGTCGAAACAGCTAAAGCTAAGCAGGATAGGCTTACAGCTTGTAGAAGAACAGAATTGAATTGGTACATAGGTACGTTCCTAGCGTACTGCGGCAGATCTACTCGTAGTCTGAAGATGTCAGAATGGCTCGATGAAAAAATGGAGACGGGAAGCAAAATATATACTGTTTCGCACGCGGCTGGCTGGTAAGTTGACCTCAATATCCACTTACTGGATAAGGTCGTAACAAGGCAAAGCTAAGCAGGATTGTTTCCCACGGACACATCAAAGAGCAGATCGGCACTTTTTCCTGAAGGGTTAATCATGGAGGAATTTACCTTCTGGCCTCTCACGCCTGTGCAGTCAGAGACAAAGGGGTGGTAGCAGCAAAGGAGGGCCTATCATCTTGAGTGCACGTGTCTATGCGAATGACTTTCAGCGCCAGTAAAACGACTTTTGAAAATTTATCCAAGACAAAAGAGAGGATAGAGAGCATAAATTGTTATGCTGGAATGCACTTTGTTGTGTCATATTTACCAAAAGTTGAAGTCTGAATACAGGGCGAACATTATTAGTGATTGTAGCCGTAAAACCCCCGGAAAGACCCTTTCGGCAATCCCAGACTTTATTGCGCACTGTGTGTTGACTGGAGAAGGTCAGTCGTCGTTTGACAAAAAGTTCCCAAATCTCTGTATCCCAGGACGGGCTCAGGTTTTCAACGTTTTGTGAACCTTCCTAAATGTGCAATAGTCACTCGAATACTGCTATAACGCTAATCCCGTCTATTGTTAACAAAACAATCGTGCCCGTATATACATGTATACAGCGCTGTACATTGGAAGAGGGGTCTGTATAGGGGTTACATAGATTTAGAAAAGGATTATTGCAGAAAAGACAGCTGAGGTAATGTAGCTAAAAGTCAGGTGCCTTTGTATCCCCAAAAATATTATCTATCAGAACATAATGGGCATGGATTTCTATTTGGATATCTATGCGTGTTGGGTGCCAGATGAGGACTATATAGTACCAGGTATAGAGCATTAAAACTTCCATTGCCAATATCTTTTTGTGAGGTTTGGAGATTTTAAAAGCAAGTCATGAGACATCAGCACAATTCAACATCTACATAATATATATTTGATTCCAACTCTACTAGGTACCCCGATATGTGTATCCAAGCGTCAAACCTTGTCGCAGTGGGAGGGGAGATTACCCAGCAGAGCGAGGACTGTCTGTACCTGAGCGTGTGGCAGCCCGACCCGGTCCCGAGCCGAGCCGCAGTCATGGTCTGGATTCACGGCGGCGGGTTCAGGACGTAAGGACAGAACATAAACAACCTTGTATTCAGAAGTAGTGTCTTTGGTGGTTTTGCCTGCACAGAAAAGGTTGACAGCATGTGGGCGGGGATAATTGACAGACAGAATCCCGGTAGAGGGGGGATTCCGTTGAGAAAAAAGCTTCCGCAAATGTTATGGCAAGGACATTATACACTGTGTATAATGTCCTTGGTTATAATATAGGCATCTCTACGGTCAGTCGTTTTGTGCATCTGAGCTGTGTTTTTGTGTATCTGTTTGTCCGCATAGATAGGTTGACAGCTGGTGCATGGGGGAAGATTGATAGACAGAATAATAGGTAAAAGGTCTCAAAATCTAGCCGATCAACAAAATTTGGGCAGCCGGTGATGTCTGAAATGTGCATTTTTTTTATTTGACAATGTCGAACCATTTTCCCTTATGGCACTTGTAAAACTCGATTATCGTTTGATATTTCTAGTGGCTCGTCTGCGCAGTACACAGGGAAGTATCTGACCGCAGCTGAAGGAGTGATCGTGGTGACCGTCAACTACCGAGTCGGTCCGCTGGGCTTCCTGTGCACAGGAACTGATGACGCGCCCGGAAACATGGGTCTGACGGACCAGCTCCTGGCCCTGCAGTGGGTACAGGACAACATACCGTCTTTCGGGGGCGATGCCTCCCGGGTGACCATTTTCGGTCATAGTGCGGGTGCGGCAAGTGTAGGTCTCCATCTCCTGTCACCGGCAAGCAGAAACGTCTTCAGCCGGGCTATTCTGCAGAGTGGTACCGCCGTGTTACCGGGTATGC